ATTTTCTGCTAGTACAGAAATGTCATGGAATCCACACATGTCTTTCCAGTTTTGACTGAACCCCTAAATCCACCCATAATATAACACAATGATTTCTCCAGGGTTTGAAAGGTCAGGATTCCCGGCCTTGACACAATACATAACACTGTAAAACAAAGTTGAAGCATAAATAAATATAAACTTTAATAAACTGAGTCTTCAAAAACCAGGCTTCAAGATTAAGCCTATTTTCTTTTGTTTGGTTTTTTGCTTTTAAGATTACCGAGTATGAGTGTTTCTCCCTAATTATCTAGTTAACTGCGCTTGACTATTCCTAGTAATTTTTACTTCATTTTGTTTTATTTTATTTTATAGTACACTTCTAGAGAAGACTAAAACTTCAGGGTGGGATTAAAACAATCTTTATAATCTATGGCTATCTTAAAATTTTAACCTATTGTCAACCTAATCTTCTTTCAATTTGGAGACTGACCACATTATTTTAATAAATGGGAGCAGAATCGTAATTCAATATGAACTTGCCAACATTATATTTTCTTTTTTGTGAAAATGCCACACAATAAGAACAAACTGGAAATGAAATGTTTTTTAGGCAAATTGCAGGATAAGTGAGAGAATCATTGCATGATGTTTGATCTGCTGGTCTTCTAGCCCTTCCAGAGCTTCAATACTGTAAATGATAACCAATGTTTATCATGACAAGCCAAACATAGTGCAAGATGGTCAGTGCTTCTGAATTGCCACTATATTAGGAATCATTTTAGCTTAGCTGTATTTAATTGTTTTCTAATGGTTATTAACCAGATTCCAGATAAATGCTTGTTCGTTATACAAAAGTATAGAGAACTACTTTTAATTCTAATGAGGTAAAATACTACTTGCATGCTAACTGACAACCTACAGGCCAACTATCAAATGCATGTCATCAGTATGTTTCAGGTGACATAATTTACTCATGAATATTTGCAAGAACTATGGCCCAGTGAATTTCAACGTCTCAGATACCTGTTCCTCTGCTCTAGGGTCTAAACTGTGATCTACTTTCATTCCAAACTTCCTTTTCTTAAAGTAGGATGATCCCTTCTAGCTTCATGTTACATTATCCCCACGCTCTGATGGTGCAATCAAATAGACAGTTTGAAAGTATCTGCTGAGTCCTAAGCAGGGCACTATCATTCAGGAAAGAAATACAGCCCGTGATGTGTGGAAGACTACTGCATCCTAGAGATGTGGTGTAACAGTTCAGTTGTTTTTAATTTTGTGGAATTTACTTTTGTTTTTAGAAATTATGTTAGACAAACTGAAAGAAATGAGGTAAAATTCTATGAATCTTTACCAAGGTAAAGCCTACCCAGTAAGTGTAATAAATCATCTGAGCCCGTTCTATCCTTTTGAGAAAAACCACAAACCACATTGAAAGTAATTTTGACATTTCAGTATTTTAATTATTTTTTATATATATTAGTAGGTTGTAATGCTGTAAACACTATTATTTTACCTTAGTCTTCCTGAAGATTTCATGTCTCTTATAAAAGCTTTAAAAATGGTCTAATTCTTTGCAATAACATGAAACTGACCTGCACTACGTTGCTGTGGAAAGAGACACTATTTTATTTATAGTCACCAGCTCACTCACGTTTACTGTTGCTAGTCTCCCGAAGAGCACAGAAAACTGTCCTACAAATTTAACATAGGAGAAAGTATATATCAGATACTTCCTACTTAGAATTCTTTCTTTTTAATGCATAACTCACTTCAACAACAAATATCGATTTGCATTAAGTCTAGTCCACCTGCTATTATAAATATAATAATAACATAAGACTTCATCTTTTTTGTTATACAGATGAGTTTTTCAAAGATCTTTACAAAATTTTTCAAAATTTGTTTAAAAAAATCTTGCTTTTCCCTTTGGGAGGTTGGAAATAACCTGTTTTCCAAATAAAGGGGATACCTTCTACTTCATTTCTGGAATTTCCCTGTGTAATCCTGGACATTCCCACTTATTGTTTCTTTAAAACAATGCTATTTTATTTTCTTTAAAACAATGCTACTTTTAAAAAAGTTGTTGAAAGCCAGGCAATTCACTGAACAACACAAGGAAGGTGGTCAGAATTATGATCAGATGTGCAGTCTTCACAAGAGACCCAGGTTGTTTGCTGTGGCAGAGGATGAGAGCAGGATCCGACTCACAGAACAGGGAAGGCATGGGAACCAAGAGAATTTGGCAGGTGGCCTATCCACCTAACAGAACAGCAGTAAGGTAAACGTCGAGGGAAGGTGACACAGACTTCTGTAGAAGCCAAGTCAGAGAAAAAAATGAGGCTGCAGAGTGTGGGAAGGAAAAGGATTCAGACCAAAGATAGGAAAAGGGCTGGTGAGACCCTGATACTGCCAAGAAAGGTGCTTCCAGAAACTGTCCGACGGTCTTCAGGGCAGTTCTTAGACACATATCTCGGTGATAAAAGTTTACAGAGAATGTCAAGAGGATAGAACTGATTATCCACTAGTCCTTGTTATTGGATATATGTAGATCTGAGATAGGGGGCAGGTAGGAAGAAGGAGGGAATGATTTTTTTAAGAATATAGGAGGAATTTTAAACAAGCTCTAAATAACTTGTATACCTTCTGTTCTTGACATATTATAACTTCTTGATTATATCTGTTCATTTCCAACCATAGAAACAGAATTCACAAACTTTAGTCTATGGGTCCTGATAGAGTATTTTTTATAGGAAATAGCTTCTCATTTTTAATTTCATATATATATGATTTTAATGTTTAAGATTTTGTATAGATTTGATAAAAATAATTTTATATAGTAATTAATAAATCATCTTCCGTTGTAGATTTCCAAGGAGATAGATTCTGATTACTAGTAACCTATCTTTTCTATGAAAGAAAGAAAATGAAAACATATTCTTTAAATCTGGAATATTCAACTTCTCATATACAGGAGATCTATAAGTGACTTTCATCTTAATTAGATTTGTAAGTCATGTGAATATTAGTTCACTTATAAAAATAAATGAATAAAGGTCTGGTGTATATGCATGTTTCACTAAATGCAATCTGCGTCTCTAATGACATCTTTAACAGACTTTGAGATATATTTAAATATAAAATTTCCTCAGCTCCCATTTTATTGTAGCTCACAATAAACAAAATGCCACTGTGAAATAGGTTCTTTCTTGAATAGGGTTTTTTTTTTTTTTTTCAGTTTTCACATACACAATAATTGGTTTGCATATCCCTATAATGTCCATCTCAGATGGGAAACAAAAACTTCTTAAAGAGAAATTGTGGTCAAAGAGTGACATTTCATGGTCCTTTAAACTTTGCTACCTGATAAAAAGTAGAGTGAGATCTTTATAAATAACCAAAATAAGAAACAGAACTCTATTCCCCCTCAACAGCTAACTCTATAAGTTTCTTAGCTTTATGATTCTTCAGGTAGTAATTTGTCTATATATTTATCTAAAAGAAATCAGACTAGTTCTCAACTTAGAATTCCCGGGAATAGGTGACTATACAAAGAGTAAAAAACCTGTTAGGGGCATCTGGGTGCTTCACTTGGTTAAGGGTGGCTCACTCAGTTAGGCATCTGACTTCAGCTCAGGTCACGATCTCATGATTTGTGAGTTCGAGCCTTGTATCTGTCTCTCTGCTATCAGCCCAGAGCCCACTTCGAAGCCTCTGTGTCCCTCTCTCTCTGTCCCTCCCTTGCTCTCTCTCTCAAAAATAAATAAAAATATTTTTAAAAATAAAAAAAGTAAGACCCTGTTAAAAAGATTAGCTCACATTCTAAGGTTCCAATACCCTGAGAAGCCTACGTAGAAAGCTGGAAGATCAATAAACTTTCTCGGTAATTGTAAAAGTCTTTTACAATTGTTCCAGAGATGTTTTCAACTAACTAGATGCATCAAAAGTCACCATTCACAGAACTAAAAATACACCAATGTTATAACAACCAGCTTCTTATGATTCATAGTTCTGGTAACATTTTTAAGTCCCATGAAATATATTTAGCTTTGAACTTAATTGAAACTACCTTACACAAGAGCCTTTCATAATTTTTTTATATCTTTCCATCTGAGAAAATAATTTTGACTGAGCGTAGAAGAGTCCCTCTCTGCCTCTTTCTATTACAATGTAGATGAAATAAGAATTTTATTTCCCTTCCATTAAAAAGCAATAGAACTCAAAAAGTCTGCGAACTGACATACCTGAATATTTTCTACTCCCTTACAAAAGATGAGAAATCACATTAGACAGGAAACACATTCTTTAGATTAGTGGCAGGTGTAGAACACACATACCAGTCAGCCTTTATTTTCAGTGTCAGCAGGCATGCTCAGCGACAGAGGGTACAACTCTTCCTTTTCATTGAAGTGACATGCATCGTATTATTCCTTCATCTACACATCACCAAGCAGAAAAGTTCCCAAGCCACAAAACTACTTGGTCTTGGTTGAACACCAGGCTATTCTTTAAAAATAAAACTTTAGTACTAAGAAGAGAGATGATGGTGATGGTGATGATGATGATGATGGTGGTGGTGATGACCGTGATGATGATGATGATGATAAATCTAGTTTAAGAATTTCTTTAGGAGCAAGGAGGAAAAGCGGTCTCCACTCTCAGACTCATTTTTCCATGAAGCAGTAAACTTATTCAAGAGGTGAAAAATTTAGTAGCTGTATTTAGAAGGTGAATGATTCACATTGCAGCACCATAACATGGTTCTGGAAAGCACTTAGAGCTGCAGTAGCAACTAAGTGCTCATGAAGCAAGAGTTTCAAAGGTAAAAATAAAAGCCTTTCTTCCACTGCAAGGATGCCCACCAAAACCTCATGTTGTAGTTCCAGTCTCTCTTCCCCTCCCCCTGAGCGAAATAAACAAAAACACTAAAGCTGTAAAACTATGACACTATTCAGGGTAAAATCTGGAAAATGGGAGAGTAAAAGAATCCCTAGTACACGTTTGAATTTAGGATTTACCTGCTCTGATCCCAGTTGGCTGCAAAAAGGACTAGAATCTTCCTGCCATAGTGGTCCAGATTGGCCAGGCCCCCAGGGAAGCCATCTTTCAGTGCTTGCTTGATTCCAGGGTCAGTGGCCTTGAAGCTTTTGAACATGTCCAGGTTCTGCTGCCGGTACTCAAAGTACTGGGCCAGGAGGCGGAAGGCCTCGAAGTGATGAAACTTCCTGGCCCGCAAGAAGCGTAAGATGAAGGCGTCATCTGTGCGCAGAAAGCCAATGTCCGGCCTGGTGATGACCATATCCCTCACCTCCTGGATGTCCTGGTGCAGGGTGTCTGGGTTCTCGTTCAGCTCCAGGCGAGCTTTCTCCAGGGTCTCAGGAGAGAGACCAGCTTGTAAATGAGTCATCGTCCTGCTTGTTCCCGAACCTTCCCTTCTTCCTGCTGGCTGTCCCACAACAGACCTGGCCCTTGCCACCACCACGCTCTGGCCTCCAGGCCTCGCTGCTGCTGCCTGCTTCCTCTTCTGTACAGGAAATTATTTGTCTTGGTGTCCAGACCAGTACCCTGTTGCTCGTGCTTCGCGGCAGCTTTTTTGTGGGAGTAGGAACTTCTTTTCCCACCCCCTACAAACAACACCTCACTTGGGTTCCCTCTTCCCTTTCCTGTGAAGAGCCGTGGACCCCTGGTGGGCCCCACACTCCTTGTCCTTCCTCAGCCCTAACAAAACACCCCGAAGCCCACCCAGCACGGTGGCCACTGATCTTGGGGCTGTCCTCTTCTCTCCCAGGATGTACCACAAACAGCCCCCACGCGCATCTCAGCCCCAGCTCCGTGATGCTTCTGCGGCCCCTACTGAAGGCTGCGCCTGCCAGGGATAACGATGGGAATTCTGATTAATAACAAGGTGGCTCTTCAGCGCTGAGCTCCAGGGCGGGGAGAGAGCGTCTTTGCCAGAAAGAAAAAAGAGAGAAGGGGGGGGAGGGGGAAAGGAGCTTATTTTTCCTTATGCTTATTGAAAGAGGTTATTTTTAAAAGATATTTGTGGGATTTTGTTTAAAATGATTATGATCCAATTAGGTGGAGACTCTGCAGATAGCGCACCTTGCCTCCTCCCTTCCTAGATACGCCGTGATCTCAGAAGGCACCAGAAGGGTTCTGGTGGCGTTGGCTCCCCCCAGCCCCACCCGCAACTTCTGCCTGCCTCTAGCCCTTTATTTCGACGGAATTATCCCGGGGGAGGAGGGGGTGTGTGAAGGAGGAGGGGGATCTTTCCCAGAACAGATATTTCAAATGCGAGGTTAGGGGCGGGGAGGGGGGAGGGGGGTAAGGAGGTAGAGAAGAGGAGTGGAGAATTAAAATGTCTCTACCTTTTCTACAAAACCCCAAAGCGAGAGAGAAGAGCGGCGGGCTCCTACCAGCAAACCCGGCGGCGGGGGCGCTAAGCAATGCGGCACTCCCCGGCATCCATCAGCCCCGGCTCCGGCGGCGGCGGCCGACGCGCAGCCTCAACTCCTCTCGGCGGGATGGAGCGGGCCGAGAAGAGCGGCGGCAGCTGCGACCCGGTCCGGAGACGCACTGGGGGGCAGCCGCGACCGCATCGTCCGCCCGCAGCCGGCCGCCTCTCCCAGCGGGAGGGTGGGGGTGCGGAGCTAGCGCCCCCGGCGTCCCAGGTCCGCGCCCGGCCCAGCCATTCGCGGCCCCGGGCGAGGAGAAGGGAGGGAGCGGGGTTCGAACGCCTGGATGGAGGAGGCCACGCCGGCTGCCGCCGCCTTTGTGCGCCCGGGGCCTCGGGGCGGCGGGCGCCGGGGGCGGCAGCTGCGGGGCGCGGGCCTCTCCCCGGGCGCGCCCCTCCGGGCTCCTGCTGCTGCTGCGGCCGCCGCTGGTGCTGCTGCTGCTGCTGCTGCTGCGGCCCCGGCTGCCGCCGCTAAAAGAGGACTCGGCTCAGCCCAACTCCTCTCTAATTATCCCAGCACAGATCTGGCTGCGACGTAAGCGCTCGCTCAGCTCGCGCACGCACCCGGCTCCTCTCGCCCCGACTCCGCTGGGGACGGCTGCGATTGCCGCGCATTCACATATCCTGAGCCCCGAGTTTACCCTCCCCTGGTCCCCACTCCCCGCAGGCGACCCGAGCGGTCGTCGCTGGGCCAGGCTGGGCCGCGACGCCTCGCAGCCTCCCCACGCCCCTCTCGCCCCCTTTGTGTGCCAGACCCCAGGGCGGCCGGCGAGTAGCTGTTGTAGAAGGCAATTCGCAGGAACACGCATGGTATGGGTCCCTGAGGAGATCATTTCGATATGGAGAGTGTACAGAAATATTTTTGTACTTTTTGCATTTGTTGTTGAAAGATAGGTTTAATTTAGAAAAGGAGACCAGAGTGGTTCCAGAGCTCTGCGTTGATGGTTACACCTCTGGAGGAACTTACATGAGTAGTATCTCAACCATGAGGTCTGGCTGATGAATTACTATTGAACAGAATGGAAATGAGCACCGGGGCAAAAACAAAAACAAAAATAGAAACAGAAACAGTCCCAGAGGAAGGAAAAATAGACACTTCTCATCTCCTAATGAAGCATATATTTCTGGAGACGCATGCAATCATTCCCTTCAGTTTTATACATCTGTAATACTGGAATCATCATAAATGAACAGAAGATGACTGTCTAAGGGTTTGAGGAAAAGGATTGTTTTCTCTTTTCAAAGCACATCATATTTTACTGAGCATGTCCCTGAGAGCAACTTTTGGCTTACAAACTAGAATAGGGTCCTAAATTCAAGTCAACTCAATGCAACAATTATTTCCTGAGCACAACTGTGTGGGGCGCTGTCGTGGATTCTACGGATAGGCAGTCTTGAAGACAAGTAAACATTGTCATCCTTGATGACTATTAGAACCCTCAGATTACACACACTCATTTTTTATTGTTCGTTAGCAATGGTGTTCACCAAAAGAAAAAAGAGGGATGGCAGACCTCTAACATTTTATTAATTTAATTAATGCAATGTTTAGTAAGAACCAGAATAAAAGAATACATTACATACCCACACACAGTCATTATTCTCAAGGAGTTTACACTTTAAATGAGGAAAGCACAAAATTATACACACACACACACTATATATATATAAATATATAACATATATTTATTTAATGCCTTTCTAGAACTTTATGTAATTATGACCCTTCAAAAGCATTCTAAATAGAATATGGACTATCAAAATAATTTAGTTCACATTTCAAAAACTTTCAAAAAGTTTATTTTTGGCCAATATTTTAGAACTTGAAGAAAATTTGTCTGCTATGAATTTTATAAAGAGGGTTTCTGAAGAGTTTTCACCAGTATTGAGAGACAGTTCTCCATGAATCTCTTGTGATTCTGAATGCCTTAGGAGCAGGGCACAAACTGTCCTTTTTTCCCAGACTATCTTTTCAAGGCTGTGTATAGTGCACAGACTTGGAAGAGCATTGGAAGCTAGAGATAGTACCTCCATCTGAATGAAAGGTCTGCTTAGAGCTTTGGAAGACACAGGAAGTATCCCCTTCTGAGCACGGGGCAGGCAGGTTTATTTTGATTCCCTGTTCTCAAAGCTACTGTCCTGTAATGCCACCTGCTATGTGGGCCAATAACATTTGACCCGCTTCTCTTAGGCTTGTGAGAATCAGGGCTCAGGGAACAAGCCTAAAATATGTTGGTGCTTAGACTACTTGCTGTGCCTGAGTGATAAAGTTGTTTCTCTCTAACCCAGGGGTTTTGCAACTTCTACAGCTTCCATGAAACTCTGGCCAGCTAACCTGTTAGCGTGTGAGTAGGCTTAAATCTTAGAACCTAAAGGTGCTTAAAAACCAATTACTTAATTTTGTTCTCTAAGATGGAAACCGTAGACCATATTTTGAGAAAGGAATTATAAAATAAAATTTACTTTGTTAGTCCAAAGTGTGGTGTGACCTGTATTTAGTGATTATATTTTTATTATTTATAAGTAATAGATACGCTTCAAATAGGTTCATTTTAATATATCAATATATGATGTAAATTGCCTCTATCATGCAGTAAGTTTGTGGGAATAGGTCAGACAGGTATATATAAGAATTTTTCATTGTATTTACAAACTATTAAATTCTTACTCTGAAAATTTTACTACTATTCTATCTCTACTCTTACATTTGAAATCAGTTCTGAAACCAAAATAAATATGCAAAGTAATCTAAGAATTAAACAAGGTGTTTATCCAGATGACTTTAGAGCATTTGATTCTTATTCAATATTAATTTACTTTGCCAAAGTAATGCAAAGTAATGTAGGAACTAGAATAGAAGAATAAATTAACTAAACAAAAAGATTAATTAAAGTATTATTGGAAAAAATAATTAAGGGCTTCTGGTGTTTTCAAGCAACCTGAAACTACAATTTGGTTTGCTGCTATATTTAAAGTGGACATAGGGGCGCCTGGGTGGCTCAGTGGGCTAAACGTCCGACTTTGGCTCAGGTCATGATATCATGGTTTCAAGCCCGTGGTTTGGCTCTGTGCTGACAGCTCAGAGCCTGGAGCCTGCTTCTGATTCTGTGTCTCCCTCTCTCTCTCTCTCACCCTCCTCTGCTCACGCTGCCTATCTCTCTCTCTCTCTCAGAAATAAATAAAATATTAAAAAAGAAAATAAAATAAAGTGGACACAGTAAGTAATTTACATTTTAAAATATGCTATCCGACTATTAAATAAAACATACATACAGAAAGGGGCACAAAACAAGATGCACAGCTCAGTGGTATATTACAAAGCACGGACTTGTGTAAATGCCCACATTTAAGGAATAGAGCATTGTCAGTACCCACATAGCCCTTCTCTCCTGCCTTTCTAACTACTTGCTTTGCCTTGCTACAAAGGAAGCGACACCATCTTTGTTTTGAAAGTCATCAACTCCTTGTTTTTCTTTAAAATTTTATAAACTAGATGAGTATGCACTACAACTTAGTTTTTCTTTTTTTTTTTTTTAACTTAAGTGAATGCAATCATTCATTGTAATTTTGTGATTGGCAGCTTTCATTCAGTACTACGTTTATGAAAGAGGACTCATTTTTCCATGTCGGTGCATGTAGTTAGTTCATATTTGGTAATGATACACAGAATTCCATTTTATAAACAATATTCTTGTCTGTTCTACTGCTGATGGAGATTTGAGTTGTTTTGTTTATTTGGGGCTGTTATAAATTATGACTTTTAAACATTCTAGTATATGTCTCTTGGTGCTCATGGGCACATGTTGCAATGAAACTGCTGGTTCACGTGGGATGAGTAGCTTCAAATTTACTAAATGACATCAAACTATTTTCCAAATGGTTGTGCTATTATTATACCCTCCCCCCAGAAGTGTATGAGATTTCTCACTGTGCTACAGTCTCACATATCCTACTGTTATCTATCATTTTAACTTTATCCCTTCTGATTTTGAACAGGCATTTCGCATGGTAGTTTGGGTATAATTGCCATGGTTGTTAATGAGGTTAAGCAAGTTTTCATATTTTTTGGTCGTTTGTATAAACTTTTTGTGCGAAATGTCATTACACTGTTAACAAGGTTTTCTGATTAGCACAATTTTAAATTTTAATATAGTTCTATTTTTCTTCAGTGAATAGTGTTTTGGGGGTTGTGTTTAAGAATATCTCAAAGTTGGGGTGCCTGGGTGGCTCAGTCACTTAGGCATCTTACTTTGGCTCAGGTCATGATCTTGCAGTTCATGAGTTCGAGCCCCACACTGGGGTCTGTGCTGACAGCTCAGAGCCTAGAGCCTACTTCAGATTCTGTCTCCCTCTCTCTCCGCCCCTCTCCTGCTTGTGCTAGCTCTCTCTCTCCCTCTCTCTCTCAAGAATAAATAAACATTAAAAACATTTAAAGATAATAAAAG